GCGCGGGGCCCGGGCGCGCCGATGGCACTCGGGTGGCGCGGGCTGCAGCGATTCCTGATTCCTGTCGTGCCATCCCGGGCAGCCAGCCCATTAGCTGCCATTGATTTACTGACCTTTTGGCCCGCTTCTCTCCCTCTCGCCTCTGCGCTACAGACCTGCCACCTGGAACTCCAGATGCTTTTGCCCAACTGCTGACCTGCCCCTACTGCGACCGGGGCTACAAGCGCCTGACGTCCCTGAAGGAGCACATCAAGTACCGCCACGAGAAGAACGAGGAGAACTTCGCCTGCCCGCTGTGCAGCTACACGTTCGCCTACCGCACCCAGCTCGAGCGGCACATGGTGACGCACAAGCCGGGGACCGACCAGGTGGGGGGTGGCTCTAAGTGATTTCTTTCTATAATAACCCCTTAGAGGAGCGATATTGCTTTGATTGGCAATCATTATTAATTTTTCATGGCATTTTGAAGATGCAGATCTTTTAATGGTAATAGCTTTAATTGAGGTCTAAATGATTTTTTGATGGTCTCTTCTAATATGATTTAATAGTCTTATGTTCACGATCGAATGAGTGTGTTAATTTCTAATTTAGAAATTTTATTTGCACTTTAACTTGACTTTAGTTTCATTTTTATGTTCCACAAAAAGTGAATGAAATGGTAGCATTTTAATTATACATTATTAAACATCTCGGCAATTTTAATTCCATTTTTCACCCAGTTTTACTTGGGAATTTTTTCCATATAGGATCTAAGTCATAGTAAAAGAAATGTGTATTTCTTTCACTTGTCATAGAACACTTTCAATTACTTAGAGTATTTTTACAAGCTGTTACTAGTTTATGAAATCTAATTAAGTGCTTTAAGGAAAATTCTTAAAAGCGTATAATATATGTGCGTATATTGAAAATAAACTAGATTACTACTAAAAATGTTGGATATACATTTAAAATGATCCCTTTTGACATACATATTTGTTGCTGAATGTTAAAATTACTCTGCCTCTTTTGACTTACTTGTGTTAAAAATAAAAACTCTACCTTGGACAGGTAAGCAAAGCTTCTTAAATCCTTAAAATGATTAAATAGGACTGATTCACAGTGTCTCTTACATGTTTAGCAAACTGCTTTTTCTGTCCTCGTGGGAGAATTGACTGCACACTGATATGATGTGTTCAGATGTAACAGAAATGGTGTGTCTTAAGTCCCAACAACTGGCCCTCCAGAGCTGGAATCCCCCCAGATAAGCTTTGCCACCATATCTGTTTTAAAAACTATTAAACAGGATATTGTACCAAATTCTTAATTTTTTTTTCTGATGAGCTTTATTTTCTTTGACTAAGGAAAATGAGACTCAGCAAACACAATCAAGCAATGGGGATGATACTATATTGTGGAATTTTACCATTTTAAGAGAACAGTCCCTGTAAATCATTCCGTTTATATCTGATTGGGCTCCTTACCTGAATGTTTTTCGAAGTTCAGCTACAAAAACTGTGCTTGCATAGTTACACTTATGTAACAGTTTATCTCCCCTTGCTTATGTGCACAAAAACTCTAGGAGAGAAAAAAAAGTGCCTAGATATTTATCTAGCATAACTGCTTTAAATTTCACATGCAGAAGTGTGATTGTGTTGGCGCATTATGAATGGTAGCTTTGGTGTTGAAAAGTCCCCTCATTTGCTCATGGCATTTACAATTAGTAAATTAAAATGATTGTATCATATTAACAGTGGCACAACTAAAGTTTATAGTAGTCCTCTGAGGGCTGTGGGGGGAGACAAAGCAGCTGTTGCTGTTTGTTTATGCAACTCAGCAACATATGAGCGCTGGTCCCTCAATGGCGCTCGGCGGGCTGGGCTCCGCTTGATCTTTGAAGGTTGCTGCTGTTTGAACAAACCTCCCTGTGTCCCATGTAACACCATCTGTCTCACTAGGAATGTGGGAAGATTCAGCACACCCTAGCAGTTGTCATACCCTTTCTGTGCTGTCTTTTTGCAAAAGGCTTTTGTGTCACTGCTGCTTGAAAAAGGCTGACCTCCTACCTTGAGCATCCAGAGTGGATGACTGTATTATTTTTTTTTCTTCAGAATTCGAAGTCACAGTGCTTTTTATTCCCTTGTTCAAAAAGGTCAGCTGTGTTTGATTATATCTTCGCTGCTTTTAACTTGTCTTTTCAGCAAACTTTTTTTTTTTCTTTTTTTTTCGTCCCTACTCCCTAGCACACTACTAAAAAGAAAAATGAAAAGTCGTTGAAGTCTTTCCTACTGGCCTGTGATAAAACTGCTCAAGCAGCTAGAGCCCAAGATGTTGTCTCTTACATTTGACAGTGACTCAAATCTGATACGCAGCACCTCAGGAAAAAGAGGGTTCACACTTGTTACTGACACAGTGACGGGGACATTTAAACATGCCTATCATGTAATGAAATATTTATAGTGAAGGAGGGTTTTTTTGTTTGTTTCTGTGAGGTTTTTTCTTTCTTCTTCAGATTTGGTATTGCTTCAGTATAAGATATACTTTTACCCCGATGCAGAACATGTGATAAAATTAGTTATTTGTGTGAGGAGTTATTGGAGGGACTATGTAGAATTTTCAGGATAATATTTATTTTTTTCTTGGCAAAACAGTTGCATTCCAACAGGGAATCTTCAGATTTTAGAATTTGCAGTAAACAGAGACCTACAAACATCTTCACAATTATGCTTTCGCATCTCGAAAGGCTCAAAGAAACATGTTGGAAGAGACACTACAGAGATAATCCTAAAGCAAGTGCTGGATGCGCATGTGAAAGCACTTTTTTTTTTTTAATTTGTTCCAATTTTATTGCCAACATTATCACTTTTATTGCAACTCTGAAAGACTGGGCAAATAAATAAACATGCACTCAAACCTTTTGGCCTGTCTGGAAAAAAAGAGCCCTTTAAAAAATATTTGTAACAAATTTCCTTTGTTCCTCCTGCACAAAACTGATGTCAGTCTTTCTCCTTTTACAGCACCAAATGCTGACCCAAGGAGCAGGTAATCGCAAGTTCAAATGCACAGAGTGCGGCAAGGCCTTCAAATATAAACACCATCTGAAAGAACACCTGCGAATTCACAGTGGTGAGTAGCAGAGGAGCTGGTGCTCATATTTGCATTTTGTTTCATTAAGAGAGTTTTAAAAGACCACTTAAAATGTACACAGTCTTGTTTGTAGCTTTTTGGAACTGCCCATTTATTTCATAAACTCTGTGTTCCTGCTTTGTCTTCTTGAGACTTATATTACCACCAGTAGCATGATCTTGGTAGTAAGCAAGAGGAGGAATGCTGCTTATAGTTCCTAAAAATCGCAAATGCTTTGATTTACCACATCACCTAGAAGCTCCTTTTTGCCCTTCTACAAATTAAGTATTTTTTACATGAAGAAACTCAAGATGTCAAATTCTGAAAGATGTTCATTTTTGGTTCCTAACTATGAAAGAAAAAATTGAAGAGTTTTGGAAAAGAGCTTTTTACGATACATGTTCCTTGATTCCTGAGAGCTGTATATTGCAGAACAATATCCTAGCACCGAGATTTCTCTTTTATAACTATTTTGATAGTTCTGCCAAGCATTTTATTACCAAATTGGATGCTACTCAAAGGACTAGTTGGACTGGTAGAATCAATGGAATCTCCACAGAATTGATTAAAGCCATGACTATACTTCCCTTTAAATACTGTGACATCTTTATTGTGCTATTGACCACACATTAATCTGGCACTGTGTTTAAACTGGAGGCTGCCGATGGCAAGATAAGATTTGGGATCTTGGCTGCAAAAGGCATAGATAGCCCTCACCTTCCATTGCTAACATCTTGAATTATGTCCTCCCAGGGTAGATAAAGCCCAGAAACAGTTATGGCCACATAATTCTAATCTAAGCACCTAGAATGTAAAGGTACCCCATTGTGTTCCTTTCCTCTGGTTTTACAGAATCTTGTTTTAGTAGACAATTGTAGTCATTACTCAATCAAAGAAATGTAATGTTAACTTTAATTGTCATTCCAGGTGAAAAACCTTACGAGTGCCCAAACTGCAAGAAACGTTTCTCCCATTCCGGTTCCTACAGTTCGCACATCAGCAGCAAGAAATGTATTGGTTTAATCTCTGTAAATGGCCGAATGAGAAATAATATCAAGACGGGTTCTTCCCCTAATTCTGTTTCTTCTTCTCCTACTAACTCAGCCATTACCCAGTTAAGAAACAAATTGGAGAATGGAAAACCACTTAGTATGTCTGAACAAACAGGCTTACTTAAGATTAAAACAGAACCACTAGACTTCAATGACTATAAAGTTCTTATGGCCACACACGGGTTCAGCGGCGCTAGTCCCTTTATAAACGGTGCACTTGGAGCCACCAGCCCTTTAGGAGTTCATCCGTCTGCTCAGAGTCCAATGCAGCACTTAGGTGTAGGGATGGAAGCCCCTTTACTTGGATTTCCCACGATGAATAGTAATTTAAGCGAGGTACAAAAGGTTCTACAGATTGTGGACAATACGGTTTCCAGGCAAAAAATGGACTGCAAGGCTGAAGAAATTTCAAAGTTGAAAGGTTATCACATGAAGGATCCATGCTCTCAACCTGAGGAACAAGGAGTTACCTCTCCTAATATGCCACCTGTAGGTCTTCCAGTAGTGAGTCATAATGGTGCCACTAAAAGTATTATTGACTATACATTAGAAAAAGTCAACGAAGCCAAAGCTTGCCTCCAGAGCTTGACTACTGACTCAAGGAGACAGATCAGTAACATAAAGAAAGAGAAGCTACGTACTTTAATAGATCTGGTCACCGATGACAAAATGATTGAGAACCACAGCATATCCACTCCATTTTCATGCCAGTTCTGTAAAGAAAGTTTTCCTGGCCCCATCCCCCTGCATCAGCATGAACGTTACCTTTGTAAAATGAATGAAGAGATCAAGGCAGTCCTGCAACCTCATGAAAACATAGTCCCCAACAAAGCCGGAGTTTTTGTTGATAATAAAGCCCTCCTCTTGTCAACTGTACTTTCTGAGAAAGGAATGACAAGCCCCATCAACCCATACAAGGACCACATGTCTGTACTCAAAGCATATTATGCTATGAACATGGAGCCCAACTCTGATGAACTGCTGAAAATTTCCATTGCTGTGGGCCTTCCTCAGGAATTTGTGAAGGAATGGTTTGAGCAACGAAAAGTCTACCAGTATTCAAATTCCAGGTCACCATCACTGGAAAGGAACTCCAAGCCGTTAGCTCCCAACAGTAACCCTCCCACAAAGGACGCTTTATTACCCAGGTCTCCCGCAAAACCTATGGACTCCATAACATCGCCGTCTATCGCAGAACTCCACAACAGCGTTACGAATTGTGACCCTCCTCTCAGGCTGACAAAACCTTCCCATTTTCCCAGTATTAAACCAGTTGAAAAATTGGACCACTCGAGGAGTAACACTCCTTCTCCCTTAAACCTTTCCTCCACATCTTCTAAAAACTCCCACAGTAGTTCTTACACTCCAAACAGCTTCTCTTCCGAGGAGCTCCAGGCTGAGCCTTTGGACTTGTCATTACCAAAACAAATGAAAGAACCCAAAAGTATTATAGCCACAAAGAACAAAACAAAAGCTAGCAGCATAAATTTAGACCATAACAGTGTTTCTTCATCATCCGAAAACTCAGATGAGCCTCTAAACTTGACTTTTATCAAGAAGGAGTTTTCAAATTCAAATACTCTGGACAGCAAAAGCACTAACCCAGTGTTCGGCATGAACCCATTTAGTGCCAAACCTTTATACACAGCTCTTCCTCCACAAAGCGCATTTCCCCCTGCCACTTTCATGCCACCAGTCCAGACCAGTATCCCTGGGCTACGACCATACCCAGGACTGGATCAGATGAGCTTCCTACCACATATGGCCTATACCTACCCAACTGGAGCAGCTACTTTTGCTGATATGCAGCAAAGGAGAAAGTACCAACGGAAACAAGGATTTCAGGTAATGATGAGATATATCGTTTTGCTATGAAAAGAGATGAAAATAATATCATTTATGTGCATGTAAGAGAAAAATGTGAGTGGAAAAAAAACAAGTGCTATGATTTCAGAAATAGAAGAGTTTGTCTTAACTTGAACCTAGAGAATTAAATGGAAAAAGAAACCTTGGAACCCTGTACTATTTAAGCATACCTGCCTTAAAAAGATAAAGAACTTAATATTTACTTTTGAGGTCTGTTTAGATAAATTAATCTGCTTTTACAGTTATACTTTGATAACAATATTTGGTGCTAAAAGTTAACATTTATAAGTCACAGATATTATACTTTTACAGATGTTCACAATTTGCATGTATAACTTTGATATGCACTTGGTTTTATAGAGAACAGTGTACTTTGAAGAATATTTTAAAAAATATTTTGCACATTCCACATGACTTTTTATGTAATTTCAAACTAATAAATAATTTGTGGTTTTCCAAATACAAAAGCCGGTATGTTTCAACACTGTGGAGTATAATCCCTGTTTGCAAAATAGGAACATAAGTAGCAGTGCACCTCCATAACAGCTGTCCCGTATTCCAATTGACAGTACATCTGCCCCCTTTGTAAATGTATTTAAGCCTATTTAATCTTCTCTAATATTAATTAGTGCAAACGTAGTCTAGGAAAACTGAACTGTGGACTAGCAAATGGAAAAATGTATGTTATCATGCAAGTTTGCACTCCTTTGGATCAAGACAAAATAAATATCAAGAAATTTAATAATTTACTGATCCACATTCATTATTGCTCAATGCTGAAGGCTGTTTTAACATAGATAGAACATTGATAAAAAGTGTTATTAATATTCCCTATTTCAAATTAGAAAATTAAATATAAAAATATAGCTCGAGGCCTTTGGTTGGTAGACATACATTTAAATAGATTGCATAATAATAACATTTTGTACCTAAATATAAAATTCAATTAAAATGGGGTTTCTGCAGCTACAGATCATTTCTAAAGTTAAGCACACTGGAAAACACACAAATTCTGTTGTTGAATTTTCACTCATGGATATTTCCTGATATAAAGAAAATTAAAGATTTTAGAAAATGTCATGTTTTTCTCACCCTCAGAATTAACCATTTTCTATCCTTGAAAGACAACAATCTCTGTCATTTAGGGCAGAGAGGGTTTATATTTTTGTTGACATGTGAGACCTCACGCATTGTTTATGGAAAGTCATACTTTTTTTAACAAAAATAACTAGATCCATTAATAGCAGGCACTGTGAGGTTCTCCAAATGTCAGCCTGTGCGAAGTTGTTTGGTATAAATACAAAGAGAAGACATTGTGTTGAACTGTGTGATTATATCACAGGGAGAATTGCTTGATGGAGCACAAGACTACATGTCAGGCCTAGATGACATGACAGACTCCGACTCCTGTCTGTCTCGAAAGAAGATCAAGAAGACAGAGAGTGGCATGTATGCGTGTGACTTATGTGACAAGACATTCCAGAAAAGCAGTTCCCTTCTGCGACACAAATACGAACACACAGGTATGAGTGACTTTGACTAGCTAGTTAGAGCTTCCTGGCCTGCTGTACATTTCATAATATTTAATGAGTACACTTGTGCAACATAAGATGTAGCATATGCTGATACCTTCAACAAGGAAGAAATAAAGCTTATGCCCAGCTCAGCAGGACATTTTGTTGCCTGTTTATTGGATCGTTTACGTGTTTGTGAGTGTGCTTGTCTTTCTATCTTCTGAGTTAATCTGTACACCAAATTCACAAATCATGTCCAAGGTAATAGTATTTACATGGCCAGGGTGATGAAATGGCATGCATGACTCAAGCAAGTTATTAAAATATCTTCTAATACTTAAGCTGTGATGAACCTATATATGTAAAAATTTAATAACAAAAAAATTTAGTAAATGCTATGTTAATGTCATCCTACAAAAATTAAGTAAGCCAAGACTCGGGGGACGATTCTCTTTGGTTTTTATAAATTGTCCATATTTTGAATACAATATAAGTGCTAGTTCTGTGAAAGAAAAGACAAGTAATGCAATAAGCCAAATGAGCTACTGAAACTACTTATATTTAGAAAACTAAAATAAGACTTTCTAAATTCATTAATTTATTTCCAATTCAGAAAAATGATAGAGTTGACAAAATGGCAGCCTAGTTCTTCCTTTTGAGTAGAGAGACAGTGGGTTAATTTTTTTAAAAGAAAGGTAAAGCACCATAATGTGAAGCAATATCAGTTCCCACGATCCAAGATCCGACCTGCAGCTCCGCGGTGCGGGGACGCCGCGTCCCTCCGGAGCCCTTCTCCCTCCACTCCCGCCAGCAAAGTGACTGGGCCTCCTCCCTGTCCCTGTCCCTGACCCATCTCCATCTCTTCGCCACTAGAAATTTGGCGCTCTGTACTGATCCTACATGGGAAAGGAAAGATTGTGGGATTTCGACCAAAATATCGGCAGGGGAAAATTATAGAAAAACTCTCATTTTAAACCAGAAAGTCTAATATCAAACATTTTAATATAGAGGGGAAAAATTAACCTTACAGTAATGCTTTTTGGGGAAAAGTGATAAAGAAAAAAGAAGGAATGGGAATACTGTCTGTCATATTTTGACTATCTAAATACATGGCACCCCTTCAAAGACTGAAAACTACCCTTGGGAAGCACTTAATGCTCACCAGCTTCCCTCGTCTTCACTGGGCAGCGCAGGAAGCAGCGCAGGGCCCGGAGGCCGCCTGAGAGTGGGGGAAGTTGCCTGAGCTGTTATTTTAGACGTTCAGATAAGAACACTTTAATAACAGCCTAATTTGAATAGCAGATCCCAACAGTTTTTATACTTGGGTGATATAATTCAAAGTTCCATATGCCAAAATTTTCCTACATTTGTCTTTTTTGATAGATATCATATACTGTCTTTAGTACCTACTTAGTATTTTTAGAGTAAAGCTAATTTCATTCCTAAATTTACTTTAATATTTTAATCAACCTCAAATATATTTTTATTTCATTATTCAGCTACAATAGGCACATCACTGAAGGCATCTTTCCCTCTCTGATTGGTTTTATTATATGACCATACGCAAACTCTATCATTTACTACATGGTGAGTGTAAACTTTTATTTTAGTGAGGGCTATCATACATATTGACATCCAGTCAGTATCTTTTTAAAAATAAATTACGGAGTCTATAAATTCATAGATATATAGATAGTTGAGAGACCTGAAAGTTGACAAACACAAATATGCATAATCAATTTGAAAAATACATTGTATTTTATAAAATAAAAATAAGCCCGGCTGGTGTAGCTCAGTGGTTGCGCATCGATCTATACACTAAAAGGTCACTGGTTCAATTCCCAGTCAGGGCACATGGCCGAGTTTCAGGCTTGATCCCCAGTGGGTGCCATGCAGGAGGCAGCCAGTCAATGTTTCTCTCTCACATCGATGTTTCTGTCTCTCTCTCCCTGTCCCTTCCTCTCTCTCTAAAAATCAATAAAAAATATATATTTTTTAAAATGATAATAAAATAAAAAGAAAATGTTCTGGTCCTTTAAGATGTGGGAAGACCTGCTGCCTAGAAACATGGCTTAGCAACAAGATGCTAACCATCCAATGGTTTCTCTAACCGTGTGATTAATTATCTGCCTGTTGGCGTCTCAGCTTGTCAAGTCTCCAGTGTGTTAACTTTTTGGTCTCTTGACCAAACATCTCATGATGTTACTACTGTCAATGTATTAGGTTTCATCAAAGTGAAGTTCTTCATGAATTTTTCTATCTTCATGATATATGTGGAAATTTTGTCGGTTTTCCTTCCCTAATTGGGCCCCACAAGCCTTTTATTTGTTTATATTAAGCACCGGTAATACTTTGAGAATGTAATAATATGAAAATTATAAGTAAGAACTGTCTCTGGGTTGACTGATTCTAGGGTTGGGAAATAAAGTTGAATAATCATTTGATAACATATTGATTATGAATGTGTCATTGACAAAGTGTTTCTTACCTGTCCACAATTTAACCTGTAAAATAGTTAAAATTGAGAAGGAAATGGTGAGCTGCTTATTCTTAGGATCCTGTGCTCTTTTACCTCAGCCTGTTTAACTTATTCATGGGCAGACACCAACAATACAATGCTTAATTTTCCTTATCAATGGTGTATTGCTTGCTTGTTTTTTCTGGGACATGGGCTTGAGAAAGAGAAAAAAAAAATACATAAATGTTGACTTCGATTGGATTAATTGCCACAAACAAGTACTGTGAAATAAAAAATCTGAAACCCCTGTTAGACACTGTTAAGAACTCATTTGTATTCCACTAAAATTTAAATCTGACACTTATGGAGTACTTTCTCTATTGAGACATTGGGGTAAGTGCTTTGAAACCCACCTTATTCAGAAAAGTCATAAAAATGTTTCTGCTTTTAAGTAGATAAAGTGGAAGCTGTAAATAAATTACTAGTCAATTTTATTTCTTAGTTATATGATAATATTTTTAATATCACAAACCTTCCATTTATAATTTCAGTGGCCATCTTAGCTATCACGTGAATCATGAACCACAAATATTAGGAAAAAAATTACCCTAAAAAAGTTTTGATCATTCCATGTCAATTTGTATGTTCTTTCTGAATCTTACTCATGTGGAAATTTAATTCTGGGATGTCTTGATTTGAATCAGGAAACCAATCAAACAAGTTAAAAAGAGGTGGATGTCCAAGTCAGCTCCTATTTAAATTGAATTTACTAAGTGCTTAGCAGTGAAACTTCTGGAGATTTAGAGCAAGATATAGGTCAAAATACCCTGGTCTCTCACGTCCAAATTCTGTCCTTTGTGTAACATAATAACTGAACATTTTCTTCTTTCAGATTATCAGTTCATAATGCAGGATTAACATATTTTTATTGTAAGCATATTGTTTACTATCAAATGAATTCCCTGTAACTATAGAGTATCTACGTAATAGGCGGCAGATTAGTGGACATCCGCCAAGCATTTCTAATAGGCCTTGAAACTTGTCCTAGACAGTGTTTATTCTAAGGACACTCTTGTGTTTTGTTCCTTCGGAAAAGAAAGAGCCATATCAGCTGTGATTTTCATTCAAAATTATTCACACAGCCAATCCATGAAGTAACCTATCTGGTTGACCTTTTTGTGCTCCTGACCTGATGAGACCTTAGTACCTAAAGGAGGTTGTAGGACAGTTCTGCCAATACGTGCCGTAGCAACTACAGCTCCAAGAACTTTTTCACCTGCAATTTCTCTTCTCTCCGTTCAGATTTCTTTCTTCCATTTATTCTGCTCCTGATACATGCATCTTGCTTGCAACGTGGGAAATTATTGAAAATGCATTGATGAGTGCAAATAAGAGGATCTAACATTAAATGAGTGCTTACACTGTACTATCCTTACACTAAACACTCTGCTTACCAATGTTTTCCCTTTTACTGCTACACCCGGTCCACAAGTTAGGTCCCCAAATGATTACCCTTGGCCTGACAAGGACTTCGGGCCTTAGAGAGGTTAACAGACCTAAGATTGCATAGCTGGTCATCCAAGGTGGATTTAAACCCAAAAGTCAGACCGCAGAACCCATTTTCCCTACTTAACACTGTACCACCCCGTCCCTGTGAATAAAATCGCCTCTGTCAGAAATGTCCTATCCTTGCTTCTGATAGCATCCTTTCCTTTAAGGTCAATACCACCCAAGAGAGACCACATTTGTATAGAGCGACTTCATGTTTTCCGGAAGGCAAATCCTGTCTTTTTCCTAAATACACTTCTGCTTCCTGCTAAGTGAACTTCCCCCTACGGCGGTCTTGTCCAATGTCTTTCCAGTCTCTTGATATTCCATCGGAATTCTCTTCTATGTTATCCAGTTTGCCTCATTCAAAACATCTTCTCCAAGAGGAGTAGTTCTGGTGTGGTTTGAATTCTGCTTTTTTCTTCAGACTATTAGGCACAGATGAGAAGTAGATCATAAGAATCTTCCTTATTTCCAATACAAGGAAGAGTCACCAGCAAATACCTTTCTAATTTCTTCTCTTACAAGTAAATAACTTCTTCCTACTCTAAGAATTTGCCTTATCACATCAATCATCACTATATTTATATTGGATATTCCCATAAGATAATGACCATTAATGCAATAGCAGTAGCAGCCTACACAATTTTCTAAATAGCAGCATGCCCCGGAGGCAATTCAATACCATTAGTAAAGGTATTTGATTACTAATTGAGATTATATCTCACCATATAACTGAATACCTGAAGTGTGTAGAATGGGTTTCTAATCTCAGAACATGACACTTAGCAGATGAAAATGAGGTCAAATCTACTCAGGCTGATTTTCAGTTTAATTTGCTGAAATGCAAGTTTGTATTAGGAAATGTTATGATACAGAGCGCTCTACACGACGCATTTCTGACTTAAACTCTGGAGCATCAGTCTGATAAATTTTTTTGTCAGTTCTATTTTGGAAATAAACTTTTAAGTATGGCAGCTATGGAAGGTGTTGAAGGCATTCCAGTGCTATTTGCGGCCTGGAATCAACCAGATGTGTTTAGGCTTGGCACTAGTTTCAAGTTCCAAACACTGGTTAGAAAGTGCCTAGAATGCCAAAGGAAATACAGCATTCTCTAGCTGAAGAGTATTTTAACACTCAACAAGTGGCTGACATCTCATGGAAAACCTTAGAGGGAAAACACTACTTGGGATTAGTCCGGCCTCCGCGACATCCGTCTTTCCACTTGGTCTTTTCAAATGATTTGCTCTCTAATTTTTATTCTTAGAATCATATGACTGATCAGACATCCTTAGCATCATCTTTCCTCTGTCTCTGCTCCAGCCTAACTTGGCCATTTGTTCCCGCTTGAGACACGAAGCCCCATTTTCAAAGCAGCCGTGTAGGACTTACAGGCAGAGGGTAGAAAGCGCCCGTGCCAGCGACCATGCCAACCTTGTCTCTTTCACGCAAGTTCTTGTTTTAAAATCGTAAGGAAGAGAATGGCTTGGTTCAAATACGTGCGAAAAGCGCTAGAAGTTTCTTGCTCCCTGGCACCTGTTTCAAAGTTTTTAATGCTGCAATCAGCCGCTAAAAGCGTCCTCTCTGAGACCTTTCCCTTCCGTCGGCTTTGGAGTTTCTCCGCTTATGAATCGTGTTGCGTGAGCATCGGGCGCCAAATGACGAGATGGGAAACGCATCTTCCTAACTGTCCTCGATTAAGATCCAAGCGCGGGAGGGGGGACGGGGGGCGCTCTTTCAGCCCCTAAGCAGGCCCCTTGGTGCCTGGGTGTGCCCAGGTTTGCAGAATCCCCCGGGGAAAAGCCACCTCCCCGCGCGAGGACACTAACTAACCGCCCTGTCGTCTGGTTCTTCCTCCCAGGAAAGAGACCGCACCAGTGTCAGATCTGCAAGAAGGCGTTCAAACACAAGCACCACCTGATCGAGCACTCGAGGCTGCACTCGGGCGAGAAGCCCTACCAGTGCGACAAGTGCGGCAAGCGCTTCTCGCACTCGGGCTCCTACTCGCAGCACATGAACCACCGGTACTCGTACTGCAAGCGCGAGGCGGAGGAGCGCGAGGCGGCGGAGCGCGAGGCGCGCGAGAAGGGCGCGCTGGAGCCGGCCGAGCTGCTGCTGGGCCGCGCCTACCTGCAGAGCCTCACGCCGCAGGGCTACTCGGACTCGGAGGAGCGCGAGAGCGGGCCGAGGGACGGCGGGAGCGAGCGCGAGCACGACAAGGACGGCGACGAGGGCTACGGCAAGCTGGCGCGGGGGCGCGGCGACGAGGAGTTCGAGGAGGAGGAGGAGGAGAGCGAGAACAAGAGCATGGACACGGACCCCGAGACGCTGCGCGACGAGGAGGAGGCGGCGGAGCACTCCCTGGACGAGAGCTCGGAGGACGGCAAGATGGAAACCAAATCGGACCGCGAGGAGGACGCCATGGAGGACGGCATGTAATGAACTACTGCGTTTTCAGCTTCCTGTTTGTTTGTTTTCTCCCCCCCCCCCCCC